TATGAAACAGCAAGGTTTTATGCTTCGCTCCCATCTCCTCACACAAAGCTGCAAACATGCGACTTTTCACGGGTCGTGACTTTACAAAGTTTACCATGCGCACAACATCATCCAACACAGGAACTAGGTCTGCTGGTAAAGTCTTGGCTACGAGGGCCTCACGGTGTAAAAAACAATGCGTAACAATCACATCTGGATTTCTTTCCTTCACTCTGCTTACAAAGCCTTTGGTGCGCCCGACCATGGCTGCAGCTCCATCGGTGCAGACACTTGTGCAGTTTTCCCACTTAAGTCCTCCTTGTTCAAGGTATTCTGATATGACCCGAAAATTTTCTTCTCCTGTTGTTTTTTCTGGCAATGCCTTGCAAAAAAAAGAAGTTTTCTCTAATTGCATCACCATCCACAAAACGCACATTGGCCAAGAGTTGAGCATGTCCACTGATATCAGTAGACTCGTCAAGTTGCAATGCAAATTTCTCACTGATACGGATCTTTTCCAAAACCACACTTTCGATGTCTGCAGACATGTCATTAATACGTCTGGAAATTGTGTTGTCTGAGAGAGGGACTTTGGCTATTTCCTTAGCTGCTTCAGGTCCGAGCATCTCCTCTACAATAGCTTTGCAGGCGGGAAGTATTAATGTCTCTGCCACAGTGTGCGACTTTTTTGACTTGGCTATAAGTTCAGCAACTTGATAGCTAGCTTTAAGAGCTCTTTCATTTACCTTTGTGGTTTTTCTCATGAAAGTTGCCTGTTTCTCCGTGTTTTCACGCAGGCGAACAAAAAAGTCTGCATTCTTGTTTTGAAGCGAAGGGTATTTCGTTTGGAGATGGCGTTTAAGTTTACTTGGGACCATAGCACTGTTAGATAGCTTTTCACCACACACCACGCACAGTGGAGTTGGTTTCTTTGCATCTCCGGTGAAAGTAAATCCAAATGAAATATAGCTTTCGCTATATTGCCTTGTGCCAGAGAATTTGCTTGAGCTAACCATCTTTGCTTTCTTTTGATCCCCACTCATACTTGGGCTCTCATCTGGCTCCGAATTTTGTTCAGAGTCCAGTTCTTTCCTTTTCAAAAACTTGTCCATCACTGCAGTATCTGCTCCTGTCTCACTGTCACTCAGTACTTAGTGCGCTTGTCTCCTCCAAATAGCTGCTCAGTCAGCGCTCTTCTGCTCATGTCTCCTCCAGATCCATCACTCAGCGCTCTTCTGTGCTGCGTCTGCAATAATCCTCCAGAGTCCAGATCCATCGGCGCTCTTCTGCGCATCGGCGATCTACTGCGATGTCTCCTCCTGTCAGTGTAACAGTGACACCGGAGCCATTTATAGTCCGTAACATTCTAATGATTTAGAATCTAATGATTGGTCATTTTTTGTGAGCCGAAGCCGCATGTTACGGATGAAATTGGAATTTTTCCCACGGCACACCAGACAATATCTCACGGCACACTAGTGTGCCACGGCACAGTGGTTGAAAAACGCTGTTCTTGATGAATCTCCCAAGGTTTCCACCAAACACATTCTTCCCTGACCTTGACAGATGAAGCCCATCACGTGCTAGTAGGTTGTCATCCAGAAAACCTAGCCCGTGGTCCCAGAACCCTACCGTGAATTAGGCCCTTTCTTCTGAAGTAACTATGTTATAACTTACATCCAGATCAGAACATATTCTCAATATTTGGCCAGCAAAAAACTTGGCAAATGTATCACAGCTGCTTGTTCCTGGGACATTACAGGCTTGGATTTAGGTAGCATCAAATGCTGAGCTACCTTGAACTGCTGTGATGAGCATGAACAGTGTTTTGCATCTTAAACCTGGAACACCTCTAAAGAAAGCTCCAATCTGATATTTTCCCACTCAGGTTTATTTTGATTATTTTTGGAGGCATCCCTATAAAATGCATCCAGTGGGTTGAATCCAGCAGTAAACTATTTCACCTACACAAGAGAGAAGAGAAGAAGCCTGGGCCATTTCTGCCCAGTTCTTACCTGCAGGAGTTCACAGTCCAGCTGCTGACACTTCCTCTCCATCTCTTGGACAATGGTCTCAAATGAGGACATTTCCTCAATCAGTTTGGCCATGAGCTCATCCCTTTTCCTTGCTACCTCTTTCTCCACCTCATCCATCTGGGCCAGCAGAAGTTCCTCTTGTTCTTCAAGAAACTCGTGTAGCTGCCTGAACATGAATGCAGCTTTTTGCTTCTCTGCTTTGGTTTGCTTCTGTGATGGAAAGAGAAGACAAACAGGCCATTGTGAAGAATACAGCCGGTCTTTGCAAATAAAGAAAATCTGACAGGAAGGACCCTTTTGACTTTTCACAGAAATCAAATCACTGTTCAGCCGGGCAAAATGTTTAAGAGGCCAAATCACCCCCAAATCTCAGTTACAATCAGTGTTCCCTCTAAGCTGAGTTGGTATGAGCTAGCTCACAGTTTTTTAGCCTGCGGCTCACACCTTTTTGACTTAGCTCAGGAAGAATGGCTCCAGAGCAAACTAATTTATGCTGTAGCCAAATCATTTGCTCAAAACTTTAATGCCAGTAGCTCAAAGTAGAATTTTTGCTCACAAGACTCCACAGCTTAAGAGGGAGCATTGGTTACAGTTACTTTTTCCTTGCGGTTTTTCCTCTTTGCAAAATTCAGACGAAGAGAATACCTCTCTCTTGTCCCCTATGAAGCAAAAACCATCAAGGTGAGGTCTAATTTTTGGCAGAAAATCTAAGACTTCCCAATCTAGAATTCAGTTTCCCTTGCAGCATTTTGTAAAAAAAAAAAAATCACTGGGAAAATACCTATGACTAGGCATCCCATGTACTTTTCCTCTGGTGAATGAACACCGCTCACCTCAGTTTGGAATTTGCTTGGTATGTATGATATTTCAACAAGCTGTGTTTTTTTTTTTGTGAGGAGAAACTCATCTGTTTTCTGAGAGTTCTCTCAGCTTGTTGAGTTGATGCTTGAGTACTGACAAAGATGCAGACAAAAGCATTACTGCCCTGCCTCCACGAAACAGTATTTCGGTACCATCTGCCTTGTACCTACCTCACGCAGCACCACCTATGTTGCTTGGAAATTCAGCTGATTGTGGAAGCAAGAGTGGGTTCTAGATCCTGACAGCAATCAAGAACCACAGAAAGCTTTTGCAGGGAATCAAGGGGATTGATTGTCCCAAACCAGAAAAAAAAGAGCTTGGCAAGTTCATCTACCAAACAAGGAAATTATTATACATTTCAGCACAGTCCTTCCATGCGGAAATCAGGACATGCCAAATGACCGATGTGCCTTTTTGATTCTTCTACATTTCAGTTTCCCCTTTCCCCCCAACTTCTTGTTCCCTCGAAGCAGTACTTACGAGAAGGTCTTGGCTGTCCTTCATTATGTCTGCTTGATATGCCATCATTTTTCTCTTTTTTCCTTTTTCCTTCAGAATATTCAGGTAGTGACTGACCTCCCTCTGAAGAGAAACCACAGCTCAGGTTTGTTCCTTTTACAGAGATGGATCTATGTGGTTCAGTGTGCCAGAGCATTGAGAGCTCAGCATCACAACTGGCTGAGCCAGAGTTCAACACAGCCAGACTGGAGATGTTCCAATGTCCTGACATCATCCCAGACACACCCTCTGTGAGACTAAGCTGGCCGGAATAGAGGGGACAAACAGTGAAGGAGCCACCAAGCTAAGAGGCAGTAGGAGACATGCAACTAGATCTCAATCCCACTTTGGGCAGAGCCTGGGACGGAAAGTGGGCATACCAGTATCACCAGAACAAATTACCCTATGAGTGTCATGATACACTGGCTTAATCTGTACCACTTGCTCCGCTGTTCTACCAAACCCACGCTGGAACAGAAATTCTCCTCTACATTGCATGCCACTTTCACTGTGATTGCTTGTCGGATTTTATGGGAGTGTCCAAACTGCATGCCGGCTTTCACTTCGTTTGATCTCTTAGTTTTATGGTAGCTGTCTGCATAGATTTATGGCCATTTTATGCCATTCAGGAGTGACTCTGCAGTCAGTACGGTGTTGGCCTGGGGTATTTAAATGCTGTTTTGACCTGCATCTTTTTCTGTTCCAGTGTGGGTTTGGTAAAACAACGGAGCGAATGCTAGATGCAGATTGGGCCACTCAGCAAAAAAAGAACCCACAGCTCTTTCCCACTAACATCCACGGATATTTCCTACCTTATACTCCTGGGAAGCCTCCTCAGTAGGAACCACATCGTGATATTTATGCTCTGTGGAACTGTCACACACCACGCAGATGAGGGCTTCATCGTTCTTGCAGAAGAGTTTCAGGGGCTCCTGATGCTTCACGCAAATGCTCCCCTTTCCAGCTCCCAGGAATGTCTGACTCCAAAGCATGAGAAACTGCACTGGCTTCACCTGGAGTGGGATAAATCGGGGAGTTGGAGTGCTTGGTGTTGGAGGGAAAAATAGACATTGTGGGTATTTCAGAAACTTGGTGGGATGAGAAAAATCAGTGGGATATGGTGATTTCCGGTTATATATTATATTGGAAGGATAGGGGGGGAAGGGTTGGATGTGGGGTGGATGTGGGGTATAAAGTCCAGAAAGTTTGAGAGGCTAAGAGAATTGAATTCGCTTCTGGAGGTTCTATGGGTTGAAATAGGGAGGCCAAAAGGAAACTTAACACTGGGAGTTTCTTATCACCCACCAGATCAAAAGATAGAGGACTGTAAAATGATGAAAGGAAGATAGCAGCTAGACAAAAACACTGTGTCGTAATAGGTGATTTTAACTATCCACACATTGATTGGGTCAATATGTGTACTAGTCGAGAAAAAGATTGAGTTTCTAGACACTCTAAATGACTGTGCTATGGAGCAGATGGTCACGGAACCTACCAGGGGAAAGGCGATCCTTGATTTGGTCCTAAATAACACTCAAGACCTGGTGAGAGATGTAAAAGTGATTGCACCGCTTGGGAACAGTGATCATAATGTCATTGAGTTCAACATTTGTATAAATAGGGAATTGGCCAAAAAGACTCTCACAACCACTTTTAACTTTAAAAGGGGTAATTTCTCTGATATGAGGGGACATGTGGGGAGGAAACTGAAAGGAAAAGTAGAAAGGGTCAAAACCACTGGGGAAGCTTGGAAACTATTTAAAACTACGATCCTAGAAGCTCAAAAAAAATATATTCCACAGGTTAGGAAAGGCACAAACAGGTATAGGAAAAAGCCTGCATAGTTAACAAAGTAATGGAAGCTGTAAAAGGTAAAAAGGATTCATTTAAGCAGTGGAAAGCTAGTTACAGTGAGGCTGATAAAACGGAACACAGGCTATGGCAAATAAAATGCAAGTCTGTGGTCAGGCAGGCAAAAAGGGAATATGAGGAGCATATAGCAAAAAACGTAAAGACCAACAATAAAACTTTCTTCAAATACATTAGAAGCAGGAAACCAGCCAGGGAGGCAGTGGGGCCCTTGGACGACCAAGGGGTAAAAGGAGTATTGAAGGATGATAGGGAAATGGCTGAGAAGCTAAATGCATTTTTTGCCTCCGTCTTCACTGTGGAAGATGAGAAGTGCTTGCCCACTCCAGAACCACTGATTTCAGGAGGGGTGTTGAAAGACCTGAGTCAGATTGAGGTGACGAGAGAGGAGGTCCTAAAACTGATAGACAACTTAAAAACTGAAAAATCACCAGGCCCAGATGGCATACATCCGAGAGTTCTGAAAGAACTCAAATGTGAACTTGTAGATCTCCTGACAAAGATATGTAATCTTTCCTTAAAATCTGCCTCCATTCCTGAGGACTGGAAGGTAGCTAATGTCACGCCCATCTTTAAAAAGGGTTCCAGAGGAGATCCGGGAAATTACAGGCCAGTCAGTCTGACGTCGATACCGGGTAAATTGGTGGAAACCATTATTAAGGAAAGAATTAGTAGGCACATAGATGAACAAAACCTATTGAGGCAGACTCAGCACGGTTTCTGTAAGGGAAGATCTTGTCTCACTAACCTGTTAATGTTCTTTGAGGGGGTGAACAAACATGTGGACAAGGGGGATCCAATAGATATTGTTTACCTCGACTTCCAGAAAGCTTTTGATAAAGTTCCTCATCAAAGGCTCCTAAGTAAGCTCAAAAATCATGGGATAAAAGGACAAGTCCTTTTATGGATCAAAACCTGGCTAATTAATAGAAAACAGAGAGTGAGTATAAATGGGCAATTTTCTCAGTGGAGGGAGGTAAGCAGTGGGGTACCGCAGGATGGCTACCAAGAAAGAAAAAGAATTACAGGCTACAATGGAAGTGATGGAACAGAGGATGACAGAGGCAATTCAAGAGATGGGAAAACAGATGAAAAAGTTGCTAGTGTCAGAAGCTGAGTTAAAAAAAAAGTGGGAGACAAATTAGAAAAAGAAGTGGGAGAACTTAAAAAGGAGTTTCAAAGCCTGTCACAGAAGTCTTCAGAAATAGACCCAAAAATGGAGGATGTCAGCCAAAAAGTGGAAACAGTAGTAAAAGATTATAAGACACTGGACACAATGATGGACTGCAGAGCTATGCAGACACATTTAAGGCTAAGAGGAGTTGAAGAACAACTAGATGATAAGATAAGAAGTAGAGTGATTGAAGCTATTATGGAGTATCTTAAAGACGATGTGGACGAGACAGAATTTAACTTTGATTTGATTTATAGAGTGAACTCAACCTATGCAACGCAGAAAAAATTACCAAGGGATGTGTCTGTGCAGTTGGTTACTAAAAGGATGAGGGAACTCATTCTTAAAAAGCAATATACAGTTCCCTTTGTAATGGATGGAAAGAAAATTATGGTAATGAAGGAACTGCCAAGACAGATTTTGCAAGACAGGAAAAAATTTAAGAAGCTCGCAAACAAGTTGAGAGGTTTGAACATAAGGTATAGATGGGAGATACCGCAAGGATTGAGCTTTACTTACCAGAGTCAAAGGTACACGATTAAGACATCGGGGAGAATGGCAGAATATATGTATGAGTTTGATAAGGATTTTGGAGATAAATAACAAGAAAATATGATGGATTACAAAGTTTTATCGTGGAATGTAAATGGACTGAATTTACCCAATAAAAGAAAAATAGTGAGACATTGGTTAGGGAAACAAAAATGTAATGTGATTTGTCTACAGGAAACTCATATTAGAAAACAGGATTTTAAGTATTTGGCAGCCAAACAATTAGGAGAAGAATTTTATTCATTGGCAACAAAAAAAGAACAGAGGAACTGTGATACATGCAAAGAAAGAATTGGAACCAAAGGAAATTTTTAAAGATAAAGAAGGAAGATATGTCACGATAGAAATAAAGACGTAAGAAAAGAAAATTTTGATTGTAAATATATATGCCCCAAATGGGGCAAAGGAGAATTTTTTTAAGGATTTGACACAGGATTTAGACCAAGTGGCATATGAACAGATCATAATGGCAGGTGGTTTTAATGGGACAGTTAATTACAAATTAGACAGAAAGTCACAGAAAAAAGATGAAAAATGTGGTAAACTACCAAAAGTTTTTTTTGAGCTGGTAAAACAAGAGAGGGTGGAAGATGTGTGGAGGAAGTGGAATCCACGGACCAGAGACTTTACATTTTACTCGAATAGACACGACTCTTTTTTAAGAATTGATATGATATGGGCAACATATCATTGATATGATATGGGCCTTATTAAATCAAGAACTCTATTGGAATTTGAAGAAATTACAGCAAAAATTTTTTTGAAGGGGCAAATAATCCAGGGAAATATTTGGCATGGCAATTGAAAAAAAGAAAAGAGAGGAATATTATAACCAAGATTGTGGATGGAAGAAAAGAGCTGGTGGACATTAATGGAATTAAGAGAGCGTTTTCTAAATATTATGCAAATCATTTTGCAAAAAAGAAGGTGGACAAAAGTAAAATAAAAGAATATTTAGACAAAGTAGGTACAGAAAAAATTTCAGAGGAATTTAAAGAAATATTAAATAATCCAATTACGAAAGTTGAAATTGACAAGGCAATTCAGGAGGCAAAGTTGGGGAAAGCTCCAGGACCAGATGGCTTCACAGCAAAATTTTATAAGAAAATCAAAGAGGAGCTAACCCCAATTTTTGAACTCTTGATGAATGATATTAGAGAAACGAAGAAAATCCCAGAAAATCCCATGGAAAAAGGCTATAATTTCACTTATACCTAAAGAAACACAGGATTTAACAAATGTAAAAAATTATAGACCAATTCCCCTTTTGAATAATGATTATAAATTGTTCGCCAAAATAATTTCAGAAAGACTGAAGATATATCTGCAAGGAGTTACAGAAGAAGAACAAGCAGGATTTTTTACCTAATAGGCAGATAAAAGACAATTTAAGAATGGTGATTGATGCAATTGAATATTATGATAAACATCCAGAGAAGGAGGTCGGTTTCTTTTTTGTGGATGCTGAAAAAGCGTTTGATAATTTGAACTGGGACTTTATGTTCAGTGTGTTGGAGAATATAGATGTTGGTGAGAAATTTTTAAACATGATTGAAGCAATATATGCGGAACAAAAGGCGGCATTGGTAATTAACTGAGATACGACTGAATATTTCAAAGTACAGAAGGGGACAAGGCAAGGGTGTCCTTTGTCCCCGTTACTGTTATATGGATTTTAGAAGTAATGTTGAAACAAATTAAAGAAGACAAAGAGATACCAGGTTTAACCAACAAGGGCTTCTCCTATAAATATAGGGCATTTGCTGATGACGTAATGTTTATGATTGAAGACCCAATACAGAATATACCATTGTTGCTAAAGAAAATAAAGGAATTTGGGGAATTAGCAGGCTTTTATCTTAATAAAGACAAATCAAAGATAATGTGTAAAAATATGAAAGAAAAAAATAGACAAGAACTATAGAAGTTGGTTCAATGTGAAGTTGTTAACAAAACTAGGTACCTAGGAGTTGATTTGACAATGAAGAATATAGACTTGTATAAAAAGAACTATAACAAGCTTTGGTCCAAAATTCAACAGGACATTGTGAAATGGAATACATTGAACTTATCGTTGTTGGGAAGAATTTCAGTAGTTAAAATGAATATTCTACCACGGTTGATGTTTTTACTTCAGACAATCCCTATAATAAGAGATGTGAAAATATTTGCTACATGGCAAAGAGAAATCTCGAAGTTTGTTTGGGCAGGGAAGAAACCACGAATTAAAATGAAGGTTCTTTGTGATGCGAAGGAAAGAGGAGGATTCCAGTTACCGAATCTTAGATTATACCATGAAGCGGTGTGTCTAACTTGGTTGCAGCAATGGGTTATGTTGGGAAAAAAAGAAATTGTTGATTCGATTTCTGGTACGGCGCGACGACGGGTGGCGCGCGGCTTGCTCCGTGCCGCCCATCC